GTTTTGTTCTCTGAAGACAGATGAATGACACAAAAATACATCTTGCATTGTCTGCTTCTTCTAAATAATCCCTTTAGTTGGATTAGTCACAGTATTAAGAGAAGGAACAATTAATTATATTGTTATGAAATGAAGAAGAGAAGAATCTTTGAAATGTTCTCCTTTCCTCCTCAACCCTCTCTTTGAAATCTAAAATTGCATTATGTTTTTTCAGTTGTAGAAAATCTTTCAGTCTTCAGTTTAAACAAAAGTGGTGAGAATAAGAAATGCCTGGTACAAAATTAATTTGGATTGACTTTTAGATACACTAGGGAAATATATGGCCAAAATGACAAGGAATGCTCAATTTAGAACAACTGTTAATCCATGAAGCAAGGCCTTGTTGTTTCAAAGAGCTGTCAGAGGTTTGGGACAAGCACCATGCTCACCCCAAACAAATATTTTTGTGCTTATATTTCTATTTTTGCTATGGTTTGTTTGGATTTTTAAAACATTGAATATAGTCCTACTTGTCCTGATCACCATGGCATGGTGTTGGTTAGTATGTTAATGATAAAATGTTCATTAAAGCAAAGCCCTTTTTGTAGTGAACTTAAAGGTTTCTTCTAGCTTTTGTTACAAGGGTTGCATAACAGCTAAAAAGCTCCAGTTTTCTCTGTGGAAAAAACGCATGAGTATAAACTTCTGGAAGACATGATAGTAGGTAGATAGCTACTGAAGAGAGCAGTGTAATAATAAGGATATATCACTGACTCTCTGATAAACTTCGGGAAAATGACCACAGATTATTAAGAGAGATTGCGAGGGCTCTGAGGGCAGAAAACACAATATTGAGAAACTGCAATTATCCATATGTAGGTTGTGTAAATGATACACCGGGGCATGAAACCTCTCGAAAAGATTAACCTGAGAACCCACAGAAGGGAAACAACTCTTAATAGTCTGAAATGGTGCATCAGGTCCACATCAATAAGTAATTGTGCAAGAACCACATTATCTCACTGCCTGTAATGTGACCATAATCAAACCTCCTGCTAGGAAGAAAAATGCTATAAAAAATCCACCACGTAAACGTTTGCTCCCAAAAAAGGAAGAAACTCTTAAGGAAAATTGCATGGGAAAGCCAGAAGGGTAAAATGCTAGCAGCCAAGTGTGGAAAGTGCTGAAAGACTCAACGTTGAATGCTTAGTGTAGGTGTATGGCACCTATAAAAAGGCTGCTGTACAACAGGTTCCTATATAATTTATAATTATGAATAGAATGAATAGGCTAGTGATAAAGTTTGTTGGTGACATAAACCTATTCATGATTACTGACTGAAAAGTGTTGCAAAATATCTTATGTGAAACTAATGACTGAGTGCAAAATTGCTGAAAAGTACTTGTGGATATATGCTAGGTAATGTGCGTAGGAAAAGATAAGTGTACAGGCAGAGTGGTACCCTCCATTCTTGCTCAGGAAGGACGTAAGGAAGCCATTGTCAGATCCATTCTCATTGCTCTGAAAAATATTAGCTCAGTGTTCAAACCTGCTCAAAAATGTATTCAAATATTAAAAACAAAAATGAAAATCTGGAAGATTGGTAGAAGATAAATACCTGGTGCATCCATATACTGAATACTGCATGAAATTCAGGTTTCCTCCGTCTCTGGAAGGATATAGTTGAACTAATAAAGGTCCTTATAATGATCAAAGGTACAAACTGTTTATCTGTGAGGACAGTTTTATAGGCTAGGACTCTTCAACTAAGATAATAGACAATTGTCATAAAAGTATTATAAAAAGAGTGTATACATCATACTGTACCTGAGGGAGAGAGGGACCGCATTGCGGAACCCAAAAATTAAATTAGTGATTAGGAAGTAAATTCCCATGTTTTTTACAACAGGAGAACCACAGGGAAAGATTTTAAACAGAACTAACCATTTTTTCTAAAAAACATATGATTAAATTGCAGATTCCTTTGATATGTGAATGCGTGTAATCAGAAGTACAAGTGAGTCCAATAAAATATCCATGAAGGACACACCGTCACTGGCTACTAGATACAAGCTCTGGCCTGTGGCTCAGGAAGCTCTTGGGCTGCTGATTGCAGGAGACGAGGGATGAGAGCATCTCTATTCTTCCCTTCTTTCTTCCCCAAATATCTGGTGCTGACAGCTGCCATAGCCCCACACTGGAGGGATGTTTGCACCAACCCAGGGTGAGTTTCCTCTGCCCTGATATTGTTTTCACCACTTACAAGCTTCTATATTTATTGTCATTTAGGACAAAACTGATTTTCAATTGAAGTAGCAGTCATTATGACAAATGCACGTTCAAGCCTCTGGACCCTTGCTTTGTAGCGTTTGGATTGTGGGAAATTACCTTAAAATACGTTGGACAGCTGGTGAAA